TCACTTCGGAGTTGTGGTGTAATTATCACGAATATTCACAATCACCTGAAAGGGCTTTTTAAAATGCAACTACATATCTGCATGAGATTGGATATTCTTCACACATTTCAATCAATAAAGCATAATAAAATATACTAAATGCAGAAGATATGAGAATCCAGCTGTCTTTTTATTAAGCCACATTTAAAGAACTGTATGAAGGTAAAACAATGCTATTATCTTTTTTTTTTGCTTTTAAAATGATTTTTCTTTAAATTTTTTTTTTAATTAACTTTTATCTACTTGAAAGGCAAAGTGAAAGAGAAAGAAACACTGAGAAAGAGAGAAACAGAGAGTCTGATTCCATCTGCTGGTTCATCCTCCAAATGCAAACAGCCAGTGCTGGGCCAGGCTGAAGCCAGGAGCCTGAAACTCCATCCCGGTCTCCTTCTTGGGCGGCAGCAGCTAAAGCATTTAAGCCATGATCTGCTGCCTCCCAAGGTGCTTTAGCAGGAAGCTGGATGGGAAAAGAGTAGACAGAACTCAATCTTGTATTCTCATATAGGATGGGAGCCTTTCAAGAAGTGGCTTTAACTCGTTCTCTCCCCACCACAACACCTGCACCTGAAAATAATTTTTCATTTGCTATATTAATATGTAATGAAGGAGTTCATATGAATTATGAACAAATATATTTGAAATTTGTTTTAATTTCTGATATAAAGTGATAAAACTCATACAATTCAAAATTCTTTGTGATTCTTGAAATTCTTAACAGCATTATTTGGCTTTGAGACCAAAAAAACTGTTAAAATGTTGCTCTGGAAACTAACACATTCAACACCCAATTTTATGTAAATTAAAAGCCTCACCAAAGCACCTGGAATGCAAGAGTTCAGCACAATTACTTTAAAAATATTCCCAGTGGTCTTTTATATAGGTGTAACAAGGAAAAATAAAAGGACACAAAAAATGAACACACTCCTTAAAAACAGTTCAATCTATAGGAATAAATATCATTGACTACTAATATACCTTGCAATAACAAAACTAATACCATAACCAGTTAGTTACATAATTAGTTTTTTAGAAAAGTGTCAGGCAAATTATTTGCTCTTCATAACTTATATTAGACAATATTAAATGACTTACATATGCATAAATAATGAAGACGGGGCATCTGTTGTGGTGTGGTATGTTAAGCTACCACTTGTGATGTGCACATCCCATCCCACATCATGGTGCTGATTCAAGCCCCCACTTCCAATCCACAGCTTCCTGCTAATGTGCCCGGGAGGTGGCCCATGTATTTATGTTCCTACCACCCACATAGAAGACCCAGATGGAGGTCCCAGTTTCTGGTTTTGGTGAGAGAAACAGTAGATGGAAGACTGACCTCTCTTCTTATTCTTTCAAATAAATAAAACTTTAAACAAATAAAAGAAACCATTTAAACCTGAAAGAAGCTCCTCCAGCGTTTGCGGCCATTTGGGGAGTGAGGCAGCTGAAAGAAGCAGCGTGCGCGCTTTCTCATGCTCTTGCTCTCTCTGTAACTTTGCCTTTCAAATAAAAATAAGTAAGTTCTTCTGTGGGAAAAATAATTTTTTTAAATGATCCTAACTGTATCACCAAATATAAAATGGATTAAAATGGCTCAAAATGGATTAAAATCTGGAACCTAAACTGAATGCCTAGAACTATAAAACTCGTGGAAGAAAATGTAAGAAAAGCTACAAGACACTGGATTTGGTTGGAATGATTTCTTAGGTTCTAGACCAAAAGCACGAAAAATGAAAGAAAAAAGGGGTAGGCCTTCGGCACAATGGTTAGATGCCATTTGAGACACCAGATCCCAGTGAAGTGAGTCCCTAGGTTCACGTCTCAGCTCTGCTTCTGATTTCAGCTTCCTGATAATGCACAGACTGGAAAGTCAGCTCAAGTATGGCTGAGTCACTACATCCCATTTGGGAGACCCAGATTAAGTTCTAGACTCAAGGTTTCAGCCTGGTCCACCACTGGCTGTTTGCAGGCCTTTGAGGAATGAAACAGAGTATGGAAGATCTCATTTGTGTCTCTGCCTCTCTCTATGTCTTTCTAAAAATAATTTTTTAAAAATAAAACCCACTTAAAAGAAGAAATCAAACAAAAAGACATAAAGGACTTCATCAAAAATAAAAACTTTGTTGTACCAAGTGACAATTTCAACAAAGTGAAAAGACAACGAACAGAAGGGGAGAAAATATCTGTAAATCCTATATTTGATAATGAATATCTACAGTACATAAGTATCTAGTACAACTCAACAAAGAATCCAAATAAAAAATGGATATAGGACTTTAACAGACATTTCTTAGATATACAAACATTCAATAAGCATGTGAAAAGATGCTCACCATTACTCAGCCTTAGTGTTGCTGGAAGCTACCAACTGAGGCTCCCATCACAGGTGGTGAAAAGAACAAAACAGACAGCAGAGCTAGATTTACTGAACACACTGCAAGGAAGCAGCAGGCAAGCAAGTCAAGAAGGGGCTGACAACTGCTACTCGCAGACCATAATTTGAGAGGTATACTGCAGTGGCAATCCCTTCGTAGTTAGGGTGCCTGTTGACATATGCTTACAAGGGAGCAATGGGCAGGCCATAAAAACATGAACTACAATCCAAGAAGCATACTGTAACTGTAGTATTTCTTCAGTTAGGGTAAATTTTCTGTAGTCCAGACAGGTGACTTGTATTTCAGGGGAGAGCTAGAAAGCTCATATCCCTTTTCTTAATTGTGGAGGCCCTGAAGTCACCCTCCACAATTAAGGAAAATCAAATTAAACCATAAGATACCTCTTCATAACCATCAAGATAGCTAATATCAAAAGTGGTTAATAAATAATGTGTTGGGAAGGATATGGAGAAACTGGACCCTCACTCATGTATTGCTGCTGGGAATTGTAAGTGGTACAGCCACTTGGCAAACTGTCAAAAAGATTACAGACCTACTACACAACCAGGTAAGGATGATTACACTGACACTGTAAAAGTGTTTAATGTCACTGATCTGTATACTTGAAAATGGTTAAAATAATGTTATATATTTTATCACATAAATAATGTTTACAATGATTTTAAAGACACCCGCTGTTATGTAACTTTTAAATAAAAAATTATTGAGTTGGCCCCCCAGAAGAGATATCTGCAGTCCTACATTTATTGCAGTGCTAGTCACAACCCACCAATTCCACTCCTCAGAATGTATCAAAATGACTGAAAGCAGAGACTTGAAAAACACACAGAGACAGTCCCAAACTTACAATGGTGCAAAATACCATACTCTGAATTCTGATCTTTCTCCGGGCCAGCAACACACAGTACAATACTCTAATGATGCTGTACAGCACAGTGAGCTGCAGTGCCCAGGCAGCCCACGCAATCTCAAGAGGAAACAAGCAACACTCCACAGCATGCCATACTACTGTGTTGAGAGAGGCTGGGAATATGAAACACATTATTTACAGTATTCTCAACTTATGACTCCTTTAGTAGGATGCAACCCCATCATATGTTGAGGAATATCTGTATTTGTGCACCAACAGTCAAAGCCGTATTCACAATAGCCAAAAGGTGAAAACAACCTAGGTGTCCATCTAGGATGTGAGTAAACCACAATGTGGGAGGTGTATATATCTCGTACACATATGATGATGGAGTATTATTTAGCCATAAAAAAGGAATTAGATTGAAGTATGCTACAGTATGGATAAACCATAGAAAAACCATGGTAATGAAATAAGATTCTATTTGTAAGAGGAATTGAAACAGGAACATTCATAGAGACGGAAAGTAGAACAATGTTTACCTAGAATAAGGAGAGGAGGGAACAGGAAATCACTGTTTAATGCGCACAAAGTTTTTATTGGGAATGTGAAAAAGTTGAGAGCACCATTATGATTTGTATATGAGGTGATGTTGGGAAATGGGACCTTTAGGACATGAAATCTAGTGGGAGTTCCTCAGGTCAACAAGGAGCACACATTCCAAAAGGACTCTGGCTAGCTCTAGTGAGATCCCTGTTAGGAAAACCTGCGTCTCTCTGGCTTCTGCTCTAAGTTGTGACCCCTCCATGTGTGCTTCCCCCACTGCCATCCACCAGGATGTGATGCAGTCAAAAAGGTCCTCACCAGGGGTGAGCTGATGCCAGTGCCACCCCTCACCCCTCCAAAGCTAAGAACTAAAGAAACCTTTTTTCTTCACAAGTAGTCTGCCTCAGTTATGCTGTTATGGTAATGAAAAGCTCATTAACACAGGCCCAGGTAAGGATGATTACATTGACACTGTAAAAGTGTTTAATGTCACTGATCTGTATACTTGAAAATGGTTAAAATAATGTTATATATTTTATCACATAAATAATGTTTACAATGATTTTAAAGACACCCGCTGTTATGTAACTTTTAAATAAAAAATTGAGTTGGCCCCCCAGAAGAGATATCTGCAGTCCTACATTTATTACAGTGCTAGTCACAATAGCCAAGAAATGGAAACAACCTAAATGTCTACAAACTAATGAATGGATAAAGAAAACATGAGGAGCAGGTGTTTGGCAATGCAGTTAAGGAGACACCTGATGCACACAGCTCTCATTTCAATGGCGGTGTCCTGACAGCGCACACCATGAGACAGCAGACGATGACTCAAGTCCATAGACCCCTCCCTCTCATGTGGGAGACCCAGGATGAATTCTCAGAATTTAGGGAAAGAACCAGCAGATGCGAACTCTCTAATAAAATAAATAATTTTTATAAAACAGTTAATAATCTTTTTGAATGTTTTCATCATACAGAAATAATATTAGGGGGGATAGATGTCTACCCTATTTGATCATTATACAATGTACATATATGTAACAACATCACATAGTGCCCTATAAATACCATAATTTTCATGTCAGTTGAAAAAAGTAAGCTCGAAAGAGTTCAGCCCTTCAGTAATAAAAAAAAATAATAAAAATTGCTGATAGTGCTTTACTTACCCGTTTGGGGCCACTAAAAATCTTTCTCGTATTTTCCTTTGATTTATCTCCTTGTTTGTTTATGGGCTTTTTCACACTTTCAGGCACACCAGGCAAGTCCTCTGTAAAATCCAAGTTTTCTGAAATGGTAATCAAAACCAGCTAGCTTTCTAAGATTTCAAATTATCTACTAGTCAACTTATAGACTTGCCTCTTTGTTTGTTTTTTTACATATTGTGTGGTAAAAAAGAGAGTAAAGAAATAAAAGCACCACAAAACAGATAAAATACTTTCATTATCCTCTGCTCTTCCCTGCCCCTAAAAGAAAACCATAAACCTAGTTTGTTGTAAGTGCTCTAGTTTTACTTTAAGTAGCAATCTAAAATCTCTTCCAAAATAATTTTCATACTTCATAGGTCATATAACTGCTGAATATCCATGATATTGACACTGGTATGATCTCATTTACACACCAAAAAACACCAAGTGGCATCTACTTTTAACGTTTTTCCAACTTTAAATCCACTTAATCATGTTGGCCTTCAAACAACGGCTGCTTGCATCTACAAAGAAGGGTATATTTAAACAGACAGACAACCGTCCTTGGCAAAAGATATAAAGGGACCTAGTACAATGTAGTTCAATGGTCTATTACCTTATTTCCCAGATGGCAATAAATATTTTTTTTTAAAAAATCAAGACTTTTTTCTATCCTAACTTTAAAATGTTCTCATACTTCATGTGACAAGTCTACAAAAAGTACTTTAACCAAATGGTCTCTAACTTTCAAACCTTATTCCTTGTAACTTCAAGTTTCTGAAAGGGAGTCTAATTTCACATTTTAAAGTTTTAAAAGTTTTCATACCCTAAGATGTAAATTTTAGCCACAGAATTTCAACTGCGGTTAAACACACCTGCTATTGGGTTAGCACAAGAGCAAAGTAAATGGCAGCAGGGCAAGAACTCAGGTATTGCACAGCGTCATGCTCCTGAGGGCATCCTGTCCAGCCAGATCTCAAGGGACTAGTGAGGCTGCTGTAAACCTCCCTTCTCCAGAAGGGACTGAAGCAACATGGGGTGAACTCTGATAACACCCTTTTTTGTTCTGTTTCCAGGGTTTTTTTTTTTTTTAAAAACAGGGAATACTGGGTGGGCCCCTAGAAGCAACTGTATAATAATAACTTTAAAAATAAGAATTCTCACCTGGCAAAGCTATTTTTAGACCACATAAAACAAAACGGTAGGTAACCTCAAGTATGACATGCTCAACAGAGATCTATGGATACTATAATCACTCCAATCCCCCATAATGACACTCCTGTGACTCTAACACCACAAAAGCTTTACTTAACAAGTAAACCAATCCAGAAGGAGTGTGTTTGCTTAAGAAACCCTCTATACCAGAGGTTTTCACATATTCCTCCTCACTGGACAGTCAATCCATTTCACAAAGCCCTTGTCAGGTACTGACTTAATTACAGCAGAGTTGACCTTTTGTTTGTCTCTCACAGTGGAACCTCGAACTCCTTGAGAACCTCTAGTCATCACTGGGTCTATTACCTTAATAGACAAATTTTCACCATTAAAAGCAATAAATACTTACATAGCACTTTTCCATTTTACTAAACCGACTTAAGAGCATTTGAGAATGTTTTGAAGGTTTACTAGTTTAGAACTACAAAAGGTTTTAGCTAATTTTAGTTTTCTAGTATCTCTCTCATTCTATAATTCTAAGTGTCAAAAAAACGTATCCTTGTATCTCCACAGCATTTGGATTTTCAAACTTGAAACATCAAGATGCTTGGTATCCCTACCTGAAACACAAGATTTAGTATCAGCAAGTGCTGATGTCATTTTAAACACAAATATGAAAAGACTCTCCCTCCAATCTACAAATTGGTCCCTAACAACTTTAGACCTGATTATTAACACATTTAAAATTTACCTTTGGGTAATCTGGATATGGTAGTTCTGAATTAAGTACTATTAAAATTAAATATAACAAGTTAAAACTGAGTATCTAGAATAAAACTAAGCTCTTAAATCTGAAAATGCACTTACGTACAATTTTTTTTTTTAAATTCTTACCTGCATTGTTAGTACTAGACTGACTGTCCTGGGAATTATCATTGCTTTCTGGGGTAGGCTGCAGGGAGGGTGATGGAGCTGTTTTAGTTCTTTTTTTGCTTGTCTTTCTTTCCATTTGACAGTCTTCATCTTCATCATCTTCACTTTCGCTGAGATCATCAAAACCAAAATATTTAATTTTATAATTAGAACTTCCAGAACCTCCTTCATCACCTCCTGTCTCATCATGATCTTCAAAACCAAAAAATTCAAGTTTAACATCCTTTTTGGATTTAGTATTACTAGGTCGAAATCTAGTAGTGGTCTTGGAGGTTGCAATATCTGCCTTTTTTCTGAGCCGGCCAGCTTCTCCCAAATCTGCAGGAGTGGATGCGGTGAACTCATCCATGCTGCGTTCCATAGTATCCTGTATGGTAACATTACAAACTGACAAGCAAGATGGATGTAAAACAGTGTAATCTCTAGTCCGTCCAACCGTCCCTCTAAAACTGGTCCCACAACTTACACCGCCTTTCTTTGCCTGATTCAGGCCATCTTTACTTGATTCACTATTTGCTTTGGCTAAGGCCTGACTGGTGCCGTCCATTAGCTTATCAAAAGTTGATGCTCCTTGCGAGGATTTTGCCTTATTGGCCCTACAGTACGTCCTACAGTTGCTTGGCCTAAGAACACTTTGTACAATATCTTCCTCGATGGCTTCATTTACATTTTCCAATCGGTTTTTTAAATCCTCACCCTTCACCTCCAAAAGAGGATCACTATCCAAACTTAAAATACAATCTTCTGATCTGATATCTTCAAAATCATTATCCCATTCATACAAACCAGTTCTCACAGATCCCTTGATTGGAGACATTTCTGATGGAGATTCTGACCTTTTCCCAAACTGGGAGTTCCAAGTATCATTTGTTTCCCTGATTTCCTCAGTTTTGTATCCAGGAGTCAGGGTGGTTTCTACATTGGGTTTCTTAGTATTGTCTTCAGCATTTCTGTGAAAATGGTGACTATTCTTCTCCTGTTCCTCATTAAAGTTCTCCACTTTATCTATAAAAATGAAGAATACAAGTCAAACAATGATACATGAGTGCCATCAACATAAAAGTTAATAACCAACAGGGAAATTGGCGTCAATCTTAAATAAACTGTATTCTTTTAAATTTTACATTTCCTGTCCTGCTTTTTCAGTATACAGCTCTCCTATCTCCTGGTGATCTTTTCTCAGGCATCCAAGTCCCTGAAAATTGTCACCCCAGACTCGAGAGATTTCAACAGTGTTAAGCAACTGCATCAATTCAAATGACAAGTAATGACCCTGCCAAACCTTCTTGGGGTACTACAGACTTTTCAAACTAAAATTCTTACATTTAAATTTATAGAACCTAAACCAGTTTAATACAACTAATGAAAATCTCCCAGCAGAAAATCATCTGGGGTAGAGATACCCATAAAGAATGCTATTTTTGTCTAGAAACCTGTCCACAGGATTAGATTTTTCTAGTTGTTTCTGTTCTTTACTCAGCTCTGAAAAGCCATTTAACATCAAAGAACTTTTAACAGTGGTTCTGGTAAGTGGCTACAATAATTACTGATGCACATCAGTCGGCAGTAAACTTTAACCTGCCTAATTCACTTTATACTCAGGAAATTTATCGTTGCTGCCTCAAATTTTTAACATAGGAAACCTTTCCAAATGAGAGATGGAACTGTGATTCAAACTGGTATAATGATTATTTCTCTCAGTCTCTACTGTTAGAAAAACACTGGGAAAAATACTTACTCTGACAAACAATAAAACAACATTTTAAAAAATATACCTAATTTAAGAAAAGCCATTCATAGGGACTTGCACTCCGGCACTGTGGGTAAGCCGTGGCCTGCACAGCTGACTCCTCCTGTAGGCACTATTCAAATCCCTGCCAGTGTGCCTAGGAGGAGAGCAGAGGATGACTCAGGTGCTTAGGCCCCTGCCACCTGCATGGGAGATTCAAATGGAGTTCCAGAATTCTGACTTCAGTCTGGCCCAGCCCCAGCCCTTGTGGCCATTTAGGAGGCGAGCCAAGGGACTACTCTGTCTCTCTCTGCAATTCTGTCTTTCCAGATAAACAAACTGCTTTTAAAAGGAAAAGAAAAGCCATTACAAATCTCAGTTAACAAACTATCAACTATAGGTAAGAAGAATGTTTCACAAGGATGGAATTTTTAATTCCACCCAATGAGTTTAAATGTAAATCAACTGCTTAAGATTTATATTTACTTTCCTTTAGAAGGCATCTAATTTATGAACAAGGTAGGTCTGCTTTATTCTTAGATATTTCCCAACTAAAGTTAAAGAACTATAGCTTTCATAATTTCATAAGCACCAATCACTAATCATAAAACACAGAAAACTAAAAATTAAAAGCTGACTCTGGCCGGCGCCGCAGCTCAATAGGCTAATCCTCCGCCTGCAGTGCTGGCACATGGGGTTCTAGTCCCGGTTGGGGCACTGGATTCTGTCCCAGTTGCTCCTCTTCCAGTCCCAGTTCTCTGCTGTGGCCAGGGAGTGCAGTGGAGGACAGCACAAATCCATGGGCCCTGCACCCGCATGGGAGACCAGGAAAAGCACCTGGCTCCTGGCTTCGGATCAGCACAGTGTGCCTGCCACAGCGGCCACTTGGGGGGTGAACCAACGGAAAAAGGAAGACCTTTCTCTCTCTCACTGTCCACTCTGCCTGTCAGGAAAAAAAAAAAAAAAAAAAAGCTGACTCTAACATCTGACACCATGACAGACAGACAAGTCAAGTCTAAAACCAAACCTCAAGTTCAAAATACTACTACTGGTAGCTGATGCTGAAGACCTGTACTGCCCTCCTTGAATAGGTCTGCAGATCTCAGCCAAGACCCCTAACTTCAGGAATTCTCCAGAGTTTCCATTTCCTTGTATGTCCAACAGTGAGCCACTAAGCTTGTCTATGTCACAGCGTTACTGAATGCCTATGGGAACACTTAGCGAATGCTTGGTACACTTAGCTACATAAAGGTCTTTGAGAGTCAATAAATTTCTCAAAAACTACATCATTTTTACACTTGTGAAGTATTCTATTGCCATTGTCATAAAATTTATTTAGGTTATTCTTAACGACAATAAAATAAACATCTTTAGGACAAAAAAAGAGTTTATGAGAATAAACATTACTGTGTTTTTAAAGATCACTACTACAAATGTAATTATCATCATTACCCCCAATTTTCCTAAAATCAGAGAAAATGATCTTACCCCATAGGCTGACTATCTTTCATGTGATAAAAGTCTAACTTTATCTTGGGCTTATCTTGCAAACTTGTTTTAAGTACAGAGTGAAAAAGAATCCTATAGAAAATATTTCACTAAGGATCTGCATCAGGGCCAGCACTATGGCGCAGCAGGTTAAAGCCCTGGCCTGAAGCACGGGCATCCCATATGGGCGCCGGTTCAAGAGCCAGCTATTCCTCTTCCAATCCAGCTCTCTGCTATGACCTGGGAAAGCAGTGGAAGATGGCCCAAGTTCCTGGGCTCTTGCACCCATGTGGGAGACCCAGAAGAAGCTCCTGGCTTCACATCAGTGCAGCTTCAGCCTTTGCGGACATCTGGGGAGTGAACCAACAGATGGAAGACTTCTCTCTCTGTATCTCTGCCTCTCTCTGTTAACTCTTTGAAATAAATAAATCTTTAAAAAAAAAAAAAAAAAAGGAACTGCATCACTAGCAAACATCATCTACCCATGTCTCCTTCTATACAGCATAAAAAATCTTCCAAACTGTTATTAAAATGTATTACCTATTTTATAACTTCTGAAACACATTACATAGATAAACTAATTCAATCAACAGAGTTCTATTTAAGAAAAGCTGACCAAATTCTCCACAGCAATAGTTTAACATATAAAACAAAGGCTTTCCAGATAGGCATCTGGCCTAGAGGTTAAGATCTCAGGTAAAAAGCCCACAACCCATTATCAGAGCTAGCCTGGACTGGAGACCTGCTCCACTTCAATTTCAGCTTCCTATTAATATGCACCCTAGGAGGCAGCAGGTAATGGTCCAAATGACTGGTTTCTGACCACCCACATGGAAGATCTGCTGCACTGAGTTCCTACAGCCTGGCTTCAGTTCCTTGGCCATTCCAGGCATATAGTTATATAGGTATTAAAAGTAACCTAGAGAAGATTTAAAGTCTATGGGAAGATGCGTGTAGATTACAAGCAAATACTATGCCATTTTATATAAAGGACTTGAGCATCTGAAGGGAATCCTAGAACCAAGTCACCATGGATACCAAGGGACAACATGTGGGGGGTAGGAGGAAGGGTGCAGACAGGTAGGAGGAAAGGTGCTAGTCTGTCTATGTACACACGTATATACTTCTTTTGCCCTTTTTATTAGAAATTTCCTTTTATTTCTTACCAAACCCATCCTAACATGGCTAAGGGGAAAGAGGCCCAGCAAAATTATTGACTGCAAAGGCTGCCAACTGAACCAATGGCCAAAATAGAACACACACACACACACACACACACACACACACACACACAGAGTCCATACTCCATACTGAGTTATATCATATTATACAACCTCTAGCAGAGCCTGCTAACATGAAATACTAAAGCAGATACTCATCTTAACCCACATTAACAGAAGAGGTTCCAATAAAAGGTGAAAAATCAAATCTGCTGGCTAAATACCAAATGTGTTATCACATAACATGCAGAAGAATAACTCTAAACAAAGTCTTCTACTTCTAAGAAGTCTGCACAGAGAAAAGGTGGCTTTGGAGACAGTAACTCATGAAATAAAGTTGAGGAATCAAGAAAGGTTTAAATGGAGGAGAGGGAATACTATTACATGAATGGCTGCTTTGAGAAAACAGAAAAAACTTGGTGAAGAAATCATTCGTTTTGGCATCCCATTCAGAGCACCAGTTCTAGTCCTGGTTGTTCTACTCCCAATCCAGCTCCCTAATAAACCTGGGAAGCAGCAGAAAATGACCTAAGTACTGGGGCCTTTGTCACCCACATGGGAGACCAGGATGGAGTTCCTGGCTCGGCTCGGCCCTGGCCCTGGCCCTGGCCCAGCGGTTGTGGCCATCAGGTGAGTGAAAAAAGTGAAAGATCTCTCTCCCCCTCTCTAACTCTGCCTTTCAAATATGTAAATTAATATGGGAAAAAAAAAAAGAAAAAGAATGAATACATTCCTAAGTTCAATGAGAAAAGAACTGAAAATATGTGAAGAGGGATTACCAAAGAAACTATACTGGTAACAAATAAGCACATTTACAATATTCATCACTAGTTGTTAGAAGGAATGCAAAAGGCTCAATTGCCCAGTACATAAAGAATCCTCATATATCAATAAGCCCAATGACTCATATAAAAAGATGCTAGAAATATTAAAGAGGCAATTCAGGGAAGGATGTGTGGAACAATGGGCTCCGTAGCTGCTTAAAACACTGGCATCTCTATCAGAGTGTTTGGGTTAAGTGCCAATTCTGCTTCCAATCCAATATACACTCTGGGAGGCAGCAAATGATGGCTCAAGTACTTGAGTCTATACCATCTACATGGGAGTCTCAGATTAAGTTCCAGGATCCTGGTGTAGGCCTAGCCCAGGCCTAGCTGTTACGCGCATTTGGGGAATGACCCAGAGTATGGAAGATCTGTGTGTCTCCTCTCAGCATCTCAACATTTTTAAAATTAAAAAAAAAAAAAAAAAAAAATTTTGATGCAGTATTTATTTGTAATACCAAAAGCAGAAATAGCAAAAATACATCTGACACTAAAACATAATACATCTATACACAGAAAACTATGAAGCTGCTAAACTAGAACATGTATATGTACATATAAATACTGGTAAGAATACGTCTTAGAGGCTGGCGCTGTGGCACAGTGGGTTAACCCGGCATCCCATATGGGCGTCGGTTTGAGACCCGGCTACTCCAATTCCAATCCAGCTCTCTGCTATGGCCTGGGAGAGCAGTAGAAGATGGCCCAAGTCCTTGGGCCCCTGCACCCACGTGGGAGACCTGG